TAACAACTTTAATTACAGATTCAACAGGAACCAGCGGAAGTTAAGAAATTTAGGCAGGAATTTATCAGAGTTGAATCGACTCAAATAAAACTCTGCATGAAATAAGCACAGGAAAGTAAAGGGCTCATGCCCATACTTAGTGCCTTTGCAAGCACTTGCTGTACTTAGGAAAAAGAACACATTTACCTTGGAGTGGATTTTGTTTTGGCATCTGAGACTTTTTTAAAAACTCTATTTTTAAATTCACATTATAACCTGACTTCATTTTGGATTGCTATTTTCGTATATTGTAGGTATGAGTCCAGCATAAAAATGCTAAAATGATGTTGACAGTTGTGTGAGTTCCCATCAGCTGTCATCCCCTCAGGCCACTGTGGTCTTATTCTTTCCTTATGTGCTTAAAAAAAAGAGCAGGATTCATCACAAGTGGCTCAGATGCCTCCTCCAATTGTTGCAGATGTTTAGACTGAACAGAGGGGGGTTGGTTGCAGGTGAGGAAGCCTGATGGGTGACCACCAGGCCTGCCCACTGCCTGTGAGTGGCTGCTGGGAGCACAGCTCACGGGCTGTCCCCTGGGAAAGCTGAGAGCAGTGCACATGGAACTGAAAAGCTACTCTGAATTAAAGTGAACAAATTAATTGCTAGATCTTAGGACTCTTATATTTTATTGACTTGCTTAAGCCAAGATCTTGAGATGCCTCATTTGTCACCTTGGGTTGAAATTAGACTCCTCTCCAACAAGTAAGTCAAGAGAACATGTCCTATTATGCCAGATTCGTGGGTCCCCAATAGACCTCCAGGAACCGAATCCGATGCAAGCACACAAGAGTCTTTATTGCAAGCTTGAGCCTGGACTCACAACCATTCCCGACACAGCGGTCCCGGGGAGTGAGTCCTGGTCCTTTGATCAGTGAGATTTTATAGGTTTGGGGGGATACTCTATGTGTCACAACATAACACAGCAAATCATTCCATACCTCGGGAAAGTCAAACAACATTGATTAGCACATTCAATGGCGGCAACAAGTTGGGTAGGGGTGATTGGTTAGTACAAATGGGGGATTTGTTTGCACTGATTGGTTTAGGCCACGAGGGGTGTACGTGCTAAACTACATGGTTTCCCAACATGTTATCAACCACCATAAACTACTTGGGGGTCATCTGGCATCCCAGGTATTTTCCCAGTCTCATGCTGATTGGAAGTTGCTAGGGGGGTTGCTATGGGTCCCCACCTAGCCTAACTGAGTCAGGGACACCTGGCACCTCAGACCTCTCCTGTTATTTACAGACAAATAACTCAGCAGGGTGGGTATGTGCTTAGGAGTGCTCTGTGGGTTTTTTTTTCAAGAATAAGGGTCACTCCCCCTTCCTTAGGACAGGCCTTGAGGTAGAAGCTGCTGTTATTTATTTATTTTTTAAAATGGAGTCACATGAGTTTCTCAGCCCAAAGTTGAGCCGAGGGGCTGGGGGAATGGGAGGTCTTTGAGTAGCGGTCTCTCCTGCTGTAGCCAACAGAGGAAGCCTGTTGTGCTGAGAGAGAAGCAGCAAGAAGGAGACGCAGAGTGGTGGCCCACACCTGTCATCCCAGTGGCTGGAGAGGCTGAGGCAGGAGGATCGAAAGTTCAAAGCCAGCCTCAGCACTTAGCAAAGCTCTTCGCAGCTCAGCAAGACCCTGTCTCTAAATAAAAGATAAAAAAGGGTGGGGATGTGTTTCAGTGGTTAAGTGCCCCTGGATTCAATCTCCTGTACCAAAAAATAAAATTAAATTTAAAAAAAAAGAAGAAGGAGGGAGACACAGGACAGAAAACCAGGAGGTGGCTACAGAAGTTGCTGAAATTGTTGGGCCAATGAGTGGGTATAAAAGTCCAATTGGTTCTGGGCATGGAGAGAAGAGGGTGGGTTGAGTTGAAGGGGAGAGGCGTGGGCAGTGGAGGAGACCTGGGACAACCATGGTGAGTGGGGCTAGGTATGTGCAGGGCCGGGTCATCCTGGTGTCGCTGCGACTAGGTCTGCTCCTCCCCAGACTCAGCACCCGAGTGCCACCTTGGAGCACACTTGCTCCCTCTCTTCCAGGAGACGGTTGCTTGGCTTTCAGGTAAAGTTTATAGATATGTATGTGTCTCTTGGTTCTTGGCTTGTAACTGCCCCCAGGCTGGCCCCTAGAGCTCAGATAGAAGGCCATAAGACCTCCTCTCTCTAGGGCTTCTCACCCCATACCCAGGAAGGGGTAGTGAGGAATCTTCCCAGGCCGGCCACGCCCGTGCAGTGAGGTCTCCATAAACCCCCAAGGAGAGGATTCAGAGCACATCCAGAGAGTTGACCATGGAAGTTTCCGGAGGGCGGTGCACCTGGAGAGGGCGTGGGAGCCCTGTGCCCTTCTCCCCACCTCACCCTGTGCAGTGCCTCATTGCTATCCTTTGCAATGTCCTTTATCCAGTGCCTCCCTGAGTTCTGTGAGCTGCCCAAGCAAATAACTGCACCCAAGAGGGGGTCACGGAACCCTGATGGACAGCTGGTCTGTCAGAAGCAGGGCAAGGCAGCCTGATTGGGCACCTGGTAGGGGCAGTTCTAGGGACTGAGCTCTCCACCTGTGGGGTCTGACGATGTCACCAGCTGGTGTCTAGTGACTTGCTTACTGCTGGAGAAATTCCCATGTCTTTTAGGGTCACAGAGGTGTTAAGCCAAAACCTAAGAAATAGAAGAGATTGCAAGGTGGCATTTGGGCAGCGGGCATCTCACAGTTACTGTGAGAGATGACCTGGCCCTGGCCCTGGGTTTGTGAAACAGAGAGTGTTCAGAGAAGCAGGAGGCCGAGGTTTGGTGAGCCAATGAAAAGCCACGTTCCTTGCTCCATTCTGGCCAGGACCAGTCTTCACATTCCAAGCTCTTAACTGAGAGGTGGCCAAGTCCCCAGAGGGAGGTCCAAAAGCAATGTGGCTGATAAATCCTAAATAACAAAATAATGTTAATAAAATAATAATAAACACAGGGAATGCCCAGACTTTTCAAGGGCTGTTGGCAGAGGGACTCAGTTGGCATTGACACCTGCCGTTCTGACATGCCATCTGCATGCCTCACTCCATCAGCTTAGAGACCTGGCCAGTCATGTGCTTTCCTGCTTGCCGTGGGTCCTCCGTGGCCACCCAGCGGTCATGCTCTTGGACCTGAGGAACTCAGCCTCAGAGCCACTGTAGTGAGGAAGGCTGAGTAGGAGCCTCTGAAACCGCTCCCACCCCTGGGCCAAAATAGTGCACCCAAGCAATACGGCACCACTAAGACTAGCACCTCCCAGAGGGTCCGGGGGTGTCGTGTCCCCACTGCTTGCAGGTTCTGGTGCTAGAGTAGCACACGCTCACCAAGTGGCAGTGCCATTGCAGCTACCAAACAGCAGTATCACAACCTGCTGCAGCAAATTATTAAGGCTCAGGCAGAAGGACGGGGTGCTTGTGTTTCATAATACAGCTCAGTCCAGTGGCTGTTTTTGAACTTCATGTTGCCCCCTATTCTATTACAAAGAGAAATCCTGTGTGTTCATGTGGAACGGAGGGAATCTTCATTTACCGTTCTGCTCTAAGGCCTGGTGAACTTTTCTACCCTTGGGCGTAGCATACTAGGTGGACTTGTTCTGAAGGGCAGACTTGGAAACACACGGCATAAAGGAAGGGAATTCATGAGTACCTGAATCTGCACAGCTGCTCACCTGTCAGTCGCCCCTCTGGGAACCTGCTCTGCAGACACGCCTCCAACAGAATGAAAACACACAGGCACCTGGTTATTCATTGCTCAACAGGGAGCCTTGCAGGGGACCTAGGGACTAGAAGACAAGAGTGTTTTCATCTTGCATCTGTGTACTGAGTGAACCCTTCTGTCAGCCAAACGGTGCTCTTTCCCCCTCTTCCAGCCAGCTATACAGAACCCTCCATATGACCAGGGGTGTGAGTTGTGGGGCAGGACAGTGGGTAACTGTGTGGGTGATCCGGGGTTTGGACAACCTGTTCATTGACTGTTATTGTAAAATTGGAAACAACCTAAATGTCAATACACAGGGAAGCAGTTGAATAGCATCCACACCACGGAGTACTATACAGTTCCAAAAAAGAATGAGGAAGCACCCCATGAATGGGTATGGAGTGATTTCCAAGATATGTTTAGTGAAACAAAGCAAGGTGAAGAAAGTATAAAGTTCTACCCTTCAAGAAAAACGAGGGTAATATAAGAAAGCTCACGTGATCTGCTCATTTGTGACAAGAAATGTAAGACAAGTGAGCCTGAACACGTACAGGTGTTGGGTCGAACAGGGGACAAAGGTACCAGTGAGAATAGATAGTGGGGACGGGAGGCATGTCCCCCCAGGGGAAGTGCTACCTATACTCATGCTTAGAGCCGGCTGATGCTCTTAGCCCAGCTGACACTTCACCCACCCCAAAGCAGACAGAACAGGGGAGGGGGCATCGCCAAGTTCCAAAAGCAGCCACTGGACTGAGCTGTATTAGGAACAAAGAGAAGCTCTAACCAAAGTGGTGGTGGGACGGTGTGTTCCATTGTTTGCTGTAAAGTGAAATACAAATAGAGGTGTGGGTCAGCAGCCCTCAATGGCCTGGGCGCATGTGATGACTGAGCAAATAGGGACATCTACTCAGAGTGACCCAAGGGTCTTTACTGGAGAGAGGAGGTACAGAAAGGAAGGGGGGGTGTTAGGATGAACTGTGTGGTGTTCAGTGGAAGGCCTCAGCACGAGCTCCTGGTTTCCGCCGTGTAGACAGCTGGACAGGGTGTGCAGGAGTGTTTACTATACGTTATGTCCACGCTTTTTCCACCAAAAGAGGCAAAGCCACTCCAGTGGCAATAAGCATACCCACTGGCCAGATTTTGGTTTTTAAATACTCTTATCTGAAAGAAGGAATCGGGGCCTACAGGATGTGGAAACAACAGGATGATCCTGGAGTGTCCTGTGGCACCTGAGGTAAATGTGTGTGTGTAAGAGAGTGGTGGGCACACTGGGAGCCCGGAGCCACCTGAGGCCTTCCGTGGCCACAGAGGGAGGAGCTGAGCACCATCATAAGCAGCCCTGAGTCCATACTTCAATGAACAAATAAGCAAATAAAAACAGAAATGAGAGAAGAAGGAGAGTTGGTCCCAATTAACAAGTGCAGAAGGAATGATGGAAATAGAAAACCACTGCTGGGCAACCCCCCGGGATAATCGTGAGGGACAAGAACCACTGATGGACGCTACAGTTAGTGCTGACTAGAAACAGTGTATCTGCACCGTCTGGACCTGTCTTGCCCAAGGACATTTATGCCCAAGGGGAAAACAGCAACACAGTGGGGAGAACTGGCAGCCACTACCTTCACCACGTGGTCAAGTCACCACCAGTAGTAAGTTGGCAGCAGGTGCCATCTCACAGGACACCCTGAGGAGCCCCATGTCACCATATCCTTACCAAAACTCCATTGAATAAGAAGACAGCCCTGACAGACCCTGAATGTGCAACCTCGTGCAGAATAACTCTTGGGTATCCACAAAACAACCAAGGCTAGGGAAGACAAAAACGTCTAAGATGCCCTCACAGAGCAGAGTAGATGAAGGAGAGGACAGCTCCGTGCTGTATCCTGGAGGAGTCAAAGCACATCAGCAGAAAAACTGAGATGTTCTAATGCAGATAGAGGCTCCCGAATAATACCGAATCAGTAGTATTGCCTGTTTGAGAGCTGCTCTATGGTTTCGTAAGATCACCTTCAGCAACAGCTGGAGGAAGGACCTGGAAGAGCTCTCCCCCCCCTTTTTTTTTTTTTAAACAATGAATATATTTTGAGCACCTCCCTCACCCCAGGCTTGTTCCAAATGCTGGGGTCTGGCCGTGTGTGAGGTCCCTGCTGCCCTGGGTTCACATAAAGTCATTGTCTTGGCCTATCACTGACCATTCCTAACACAGGAAGTGAGAATATTATCCTTTACAGATTGGGTTATTCCAGCTGGGGGTTTATAGGGGCACTCGGTTTCTAGCTCAAAGATTTCTTGAAAAATTTCTCAAAAGATAGATATGTTGACTACATTGCCAAACAGCTTTGGAATTTATATATTAATTTCCAAAATTGCACAGCTACTAAATCTTCTTGGCAGGGCATAATCTAATTGCAGCTTCATCTGCTTCCTCTGAACTGGAATCGTGTTGACAAGATGATGCGAGATAAGCCACACATGATCCAAATAGTACTTTACAAGTGACTACAGAAACGTAAAGACTGTTTCTTAGCCCGTGACTTGTATCTGAGTTCTGACTTCATTCCTACAGCTTAACCTGTGATTCTACGAATTACTGACCCGATTAAAAACAGGAATAACCCTAGTTAGTCCATGTGCTCAATTCACTTGTCCAAATGTGTCTGTCTCTCTCCCCTGGTGGGGAAACTGAGCTTGGGGCAGTCCTGGTGGGTCTGCTGTTTGTCTGAAACATGCAACACACTGGCTCTTCTCCGTGGGGCAGTGCAAATAGTTGAGAGCGTGGAACACACGGTGGGAGGGAGTGCAGTGGTGGGGACCCAGTGCTGTCATTCTAGGAGGGTGACCGAGGCCTGCCTTGTCTCTCCTCTCTGCTGGAATGGTGTGGCATCCGCAAGCCAGTCACTTAAAGGGAGCCGAGAGGAGAGAAAGAGAATCTGAAGAATGCAGTGTGAGTGTCCCAAGGGTTCCAGACTCTCCTTTACCTCTGAGAGGATGGACAGCCTGGTGAGTCACATGCAGAATCTGCCTAGCTTTCCAATTCCAGAGAAAGGCCTCCGCCGGAGGAGGAGGCCTGTGGGATCTCTTCCAGCGTCCATCACTGAAGGCCAGGCATGAAGTGTGCACCTGGGAATGCTGAGAGCACCACAGGGCTCAGCCTTTGCCCCTCAGTGTGCCATCACTGGGGGTGGGGGGTGGGACACACTCAGGGAACCAGGCTTCCCTGCTGTTCACCTCTATAGTTCAGACTGGACAGCTGGCCTCCTGCCTGGCAGGGCGGGGGAGGGGGGTGGGTGTGGGTAGAGCCTCCCTATTCAAGGGTCACACTTTCATCCGCCCCTAGGCCCAAACCACTGGGTTAGGGCGGGGTGTGTGTATTCATCTGTAAAATAAAAAAGAATCCCCCAATGGATTCACATTCCTGTTTTCAACCTAACAACTAAGAATTCACTTAATGTACTAAAGAAATGGTAGTGGAGATCTACAGATCTACATGACAGCTCTGGTGTCCATTCAACAGAGTCTAAAGGAGACCCCTTGGGAATGCCTCTTGGTGAGAATCCAAGAAGCACCACTTTCTCCAGATAAATGTAGGATCCTCGTTATCCCCAGCAACTTGCCCTCTTGCTGTGTCCCCCAAAGTCCACATGTTGGGACCTGAATCCCTCACTGTGGCAGCTCTGGGAGAGGTGAGAGAGACCGGTGGGGCGACGGTCTGGGGAAGTGCCAGGTGGGCAGCCACTTTCTCTGGGAGTAGCTGCACCCTCTGCTCTCCTCCACAGGGGCCCACTTCACCTTCTGCTCTGCACCACAGCTGAGTCCGGCCCTTACCATTCTGGCTGCCTGGTCTTGGACTTCTCATTCTCCAGAGCCCAATTCTCATGAGCCCAATTAACCCCCTTTCTTTATAAATTAACCAGTCTTGGGTATTCTCTAAAGGGAAACAAAAATAGGCACACGTCCGCCCCAGCAATGATAAAGTCATTTGCACCAATATTCGGGGAGCACTTACACGTGCCAACTACAGTGCTCAGGTATTTAGAAGTATTATCTCATGTAACTTTCACAACAACCTGGCAGGGCAAGAGTTTTATTGACCCCATTTTAATGACAGGGTTGAACCCAGGTCTGAATGAGCCCTGGGCTCCTGATCCCTAGGCTATTGCTCAAGACAAGTGAGGTAAGAAGAGCTTCGAATGAGAAAGAGAGACCAAGGGCCTTCTTACAGCCTTGAATGATTAACCATTTGCCCTAAATGAAAAAGTGTTGTGTCCTTTTATTTGTACAATATACATAGTGCCCTACTGATCACCTTGACCATTTTTACGAGTGTGCTTCACCTGTGTTGAGATTGATCACAATGCTGTGCAGCCAGGTTCCCGAACTCTCTTCATCCCATGAAGCCGAACTCTGCACCTGTTAAACTCAGGCCCCCTCTCCGCCTGCCCTCCCCTTGCGGTGCTGTGAGTGGCACACCCCAGCTGCCTCGCGAGTTGCAGCTACCTCACTTCGCTCAGCATAGTACTCAAGGTCCATCCCTGCTGCAAAAGAGCATTTCCTTCCTCTTTAAGGCTGCATACTGTTCTGTTGTGTGCATGGATCCAGTCTTGTCTGTGTGTTCATCTGAGGATGAGCACTAGGATTGTTTCCATGATATAGTGAATAACTCTGCTAAGAACAAATGGCTCTGTTCTTAACAACAAAAATCTCTAGGAAAAGAAGTTAAATGGGTTTGTAGGAAATCTTAGAAAAGGTTATGTGTCTGAGTATGAGTGTAGCTGTGTGTATACAAATATAAAAGATCCTGAAATGCTTAGATATTTGTGGTCTTTCCAACTCTCCTAAGCTAATCACTGCTGTCTTTATTCTTCCACAATTCTTTTAACTTCCTGCTCTAAGAATAGTTCACACACTGGCTTCACACACTGGCTTCAAGTTCATTTAGATCAACTTCTTCAGGACTGAAACTAGGTATCAGTCTTTTGTGTCTCTCCAAGCCTGCACCAGAGGCTGATCTCAAACAGATCACTGACCCCACTTTGAATAAGTAGTATTTAAAAGAAATCCTCATTATTTTCAGAAAACACTGGAAAATTGTCTTCCGTTTAAGAAGCATTTTATTAAGGAGACATAATTTGATTGTGGATTTAAATGATTAGCAAATTATATTTCAAAAGACATGAAGAAACCAATTATTTTTACCAATGTCTAATTAAGGGATTGTCTAACAAATTATCTTTCAAATAGAAATTAAATCTTGTGAAACACAGATCAATCGTTTATTAAAAACTAACTAGTTTAGCATGGTGATGCACCCCTGTAATCCCAGCAGCTTGGGAGGCTGAGGCAGGAGGACCCCAAGCGCAAAGCCAGCCTTAGGAATCTAGGCCTCTAAGCAACTTGGAGAGAGACCCTGTCTCAAAATAAAAAATAAACAGGGTTTTGGTTGTGGCTCAGAGGTGAAGTATTCCTGGGATCAATTCCCAGTACAAAAAAAAAAAAAAAAAAAACCCTACTACGTGGGAAGCACTGCCCTAAGCATTTCAAACATATTGTATCATTTACAATACAAGATATAGGCTACACTGTTGCCTTTCCATCCATTACCTTAGAGTAACTGCACCATGACAGGGGAAAAATGATGGGCTAGGATGACCCTCTGCTGATGCACAGTGCACATATACTCTAGGTGTACTTGCAGCAGTGCAAAGAAACCTAGGCAGAAACTGGGAGCCCCCAGATGAGGTGCCAAATGAGGACGTAGTGTTCACAGGCATCTTCTGGTTGAGTTGCCTTTAAGAACATGGTCATGTCAGCAGCAGAGTCTCTGGATGCTTAATCTTTGCAATGTATAGAATGGCAATGGAAGGAGCAGGGTGCATTCAGTGGAAATGGGCAGATGCCTACATTTTCAGAGGGCAGGACTACAGGCCTAAAGCACTCAAGGACATCTATAACGCTCCTAGGTGTTTAGGAGGAGTGAGAGCTGGCGCTTGGTGTGGATGGGCGCTGGACCCTGGCACTTTCCTGTTGGTGTAATGGTACATCCTTTTAGGTAAACAAGGGTGTAGTCTAGTGAAACAGAACGGTCCCCGATCCTGCGGTCCTATTGGGACCTTTCCTGGAAATTGAAGCATCCTAGGCTAAGACACATTATAAGTATCTTTACTCAGCGCTGTCTGTGGTAATAAAAGTGTACATCAATTTACACATTTATCAATGGAAACAAATGACTCCACGGTAAGGCAATCTGTTCTACAGACTGTGCTATTAAAAGACTAAGCTGTATCTATACCAGCTGACCTGGTCAGATAGTCTAATGCACCATCAGGTGAACAAGGCACTCCCATTACATGAGCTAGAACTGCATGTGTAGACAACAGCAATAAGCTATATTTTTACAGGTGTGGATAAGGCTGGGGTGTGACATATCCCCCGGTAGTTAACACTGGCTACCTCAGGGGGAGTGGGAACTGGCACATGTAGGAGGAAGTTGTGTTTATGCCTTTGGGTGTATCATTGTCACAATAAGCACACACTGCTTCCACAGTAGAAAAGATTAACAGGGGAACACATGTTCTTCAAATGACTTTTTCACCAATAAAGATGGCTGATCTTACAGTTTTAACTTCACCTGCACCTTCAAGGTCAAGTCCTCAGGACAAGTGTCTTCCAGCTTTGGTTATACAAGGTGACAATTCCATCAGCCTTCTTTAGGGAACTTTGTTTCTTGTAGATGCCTGACAATATGCTGCAATAAGCCTATGTAACTCTGGGGCACAGCATCACCGTGACTCTTGCTGGCCTTGTGCACATTCTGGCTCCTTATCAGTGTTGTGTGGGTCTGCTGCAGGTGTGTACTGTGTTCATTCATTTGACACCCTCACTCTGCAGGTGAGTGTTTTCCAGGTGTGGCCTTATGGGACAAGTGGGCAGGTTTCTGCTCTGGCAAGCTCCCTCCTAGTCTTCTCCTGGCCTCTTGACCGTCCAGATATGACCAGCAGGATGAGTGACAAGTGCTCATAAAATTGTTGGGAGGCCTGGAGGGACAGGACCCAGAGTGGGTTCCCCAGGAATGGCTCTCAGGACAAGACTGAACAGTCTCACTAGGGCTCCCACCTGAGGAGGCTGCCCTGGAACTGGTGACTTGAAGACACACCCGTACCTTTGATCCAGAAGTCAGGACACTCGGGCCACTGTTTGCTTCTGGTGTTACAGCTTCTGTTGAACCTGCACCAGTTAATTGCTCTTGGTATCCAGGAAGCTGATAAGTGAGCACTGGAATGTTGCTAAGAAAAACCTCATGTCTCTGTGCAGGAAAATTGCTGGGAGGGATAGAACAATGGCCTCCAGAGCATTCTAATTCCAAATCTCACACAAGTGTATCTCATCGTTGGACCTATTTCATGAACAAGATCCCAGATACAAAGCAGTTGACCTCTGCAATACAGGAGGCATCCCCAGAGGAAGCCGAAAGGGCTGACTTATTTTACTTAATGAGATATATAGATACATATGGTAATTGAACCAGGGGTGTCATGTCCCCAGTCCTTTTTATATTTTATTTAGAGACAGGATCTTGCTGAGCTTCTAAGGTCCTTGCTGAGGTGCCAAGGCTGGCTTTGGGCTTGTGATTCTACTGTGTCTGCCTCTTGAGCTGCTGGGAGTTAATGCAATATACAATAGTTGCAGTTGAAAAGTCTCTTCATTTCTGTCTTACATGATGGAATTCATCCACACTATGATCCAGGACATCAAGTGCCAAGCATGAAGTTTTAGTTTTCAGCTCAGAGCTCCTTGCTCTGAACTCTAGCCAGAACATCCAGTCACTTATGCAACATTTCTCATGAATGTTGCTAGCTTACATCTAGTTAGCCTCCCCATCTTCCCTCTGCTGCATCCATTATCAGAATCTTGTCCTGTGGATGATGCCATCATCTGCCCACTTGCACAAGCCAGAGGAAGGGAAGGGAGCCCTACCATCTCACTTTCCCTTCCCCCCTATATCTAATCAATAACTGATTGGTCATTGATTCCACCATTGAAAGATCTCCCAAATCCACCCAAATGTTTATCCATCTCCACTGTATCTGCCTTAGTGCCAGCCACCAATTTCTCCAACACTGTCCTCTTCTAAACTACAGCAGCGATGCCAACAGCTCTCTTACGCTAATCTGATCTCCACATGGTAGCCAAGAGACCTTTCAAAGATTGCTCATATGACTCCATTGTGTAAACCCTACCACGGTTTCCTATTTTCTAATGATAAAGACACAAATTTTTAATATGGCTTCCGATCCTCTGCTGAGCTCGACTTTTCAGCCTTAACTCCCGGTATTCCTTCCTCACCTTATTCCCAGGGCCCACAGGACTTTGTTCAGTGACTCAAAACAAGCCTTCCTAGGTCCAGTGCGGTCCTCATACAGGTTCCTTTGCCTGGGATGTCCACGAATCCTTCAGAACACATTTCCTGTCACTTTCCAAAGGTGATATCTCTAAACCTCTGCTCATTTCCCCCTGAACATTTTCTTGCCACCCTAGACTTCTGTTCCTAATGTTCACAATTCAAATAAAATAACTGTGGGGTTGGTATTCCATTTTTTCAGCCTTGAACATAGGCATTTAAGGGAAAGAACCTTGTCTTATCACTAGTCACCAGAAGCTTCCAGGTGCCAAGTACACAGCAAAAATTTAAGATTCAACACAATAATAAGGTAACAGTGCTGGACCAGGCATACCCCAAGTCCTTCATGTGTGGTGACTCATTTAATCCTTGTAAACCTAGGATGTAGGCATTGTGATTATCCTCATTTTACAACATGAAACAGGTACAGAGAGGTGAAGCAAGCTGCCAAGATCACACAGGGGAAGTAGGACTTGGACTCAGTAGTTCAGTCCCAAGTTACTTTTACCAACATACTTTGCAACTGCCTTAATATTTATTGGAAGTACGTACCTTGAAAGGAATTACTCAGAGAATTGTTCATGAATTCATAATTACAGAGCACTTCTATGGTAAAACTTGTTTAACTATAGGGAAGAAGATGGGTATATACTGATACCACTATACTAGAAATTTTTTCTTAAAATGTAGCCAAACCCATAAAAGATAATCTACCCAAAAGTGAATACTGTTAGTGACTTGAATAATTTTAAATAAATCAAGGATTTCATACCTTTTAGACTCATGAAAATTAGCTAGAGAAATAAGCTCAAAAGCATATAAATGTCTATGTATATATACTTCAATGATATGTATGTGTGTGTGTGTGTGTGTATATATATATATATATATATATATGAATATATTTTGAGACCTGTGTTGCATTAATCAATCTGAAAAGAGCAAAGAGAATGAACATTAGCTCCCTGTCACATGTTAAACAATAGATGTCAATCACATTTAAAACTATTGCCTTGATCATTGGGGTGTCATTTTATGGTGGCTTTGGGAACAACAAAAACGAACAGAATGTAACATTGGGCAACTTTCCCCTACGGTTTAGTTCTGTTAGTAACAGAGTTTTCATTTCCGTATTTGACAAAAGTTATAAAGTTGTTCTGAGTGGAGTGTGATGGTGTTTGTAAAGTTCTTTGCACTTCTAGAAGAAAGGTATTAATATTACCAAAGCACAAACCATTTAAACAGTGCACTATTTGATGAGAGGTAGATAATTCAGGAGGACTCCTGTCTCATTATTCCTGCAAAGCCCTAAAATAGTAATGGGGGTTAATTCCAAGATGTTTCCTGTTAGAATATGAGTTACGTAAATTCTTATAGACCTTGAGACTATACCTACATGATCTTTGGAGCAATAATGAGAAGAGAAAAAGTTGAATCCAATGGTAAATGACTTCAATGAGCAGAGATGTAGCCTGCAAACTGGAACCCATCCAATTCAGGATTCCCATTAAGCCCGGTGGTGAACCGGCAGCCATAGTCCCACAAGGGCGTGACCGGACATCTTCCTATGCTGTCCTGCAGTTTGTGCCCAGGATTCCAAAAGGCTTCCTGGTAAGAGGGGTGTATTCAGCCGTGGAGGGCCGGTCTTATCGGGGCTAGCCTGCCCGTGGGAAGGTTCTCAGGCCGGCAAAGTGGGAGTTGGTGAGGACTGTCGGGGTGGCTGGTGCACAGCTAAATACATGGGAAATCTTCCTTGGGCTGACAGTCAACCGGCACCTTAGGAAACAAATCACAAGCCTCCCTTTAATAAGTGTACGATTTCAAAATAAATCTTGTGAATAATCTGACATAGAGGCGAATTTGGCACGTTTTTCGAACTGCTTAAGCGCCCCTCCGGGGCTTCCGCGGCCGAAGCCCACCCTGGGCGGGTAGTCCTCTGTGAGCGCCAGCAGATGGCCGGAGGGCTCCGGGCGCTGGGCTCGGCCACCTGGGCGCCAGTTCCGTCCACCGGGCTTCCAGGGTCTGGGCTGCCCCTGCACCGGAGTGGCCTCAACACGTCCTTCTATCCTGGTGGCTCCTGAATTTTAGGTCCACGCGGAGTGGAAAGCACAGCGACGCTCCCCCCAGCACGTCCCTGTCTGTCCCCGAGTGCCAGGCCACCGGCTTTGCTGCGGGATTTCCTCTCCGGGCCCCGCGTGCTGCAGCGACCCCGTGACGCAGACGGGTTCTTTGCAGCACGTGGACGTGGCGGCCGTCTAGGTTCCCTCCACCACGGGTCACAGCCAAGAGAAGTGGTTTCCTCCCACCCTAGCGGGCCGGTCGGTCCCCCAGCGCACGTCCGCTCGTAGCGCGGGGTGCTGCGGCCGCGGGGACCAAGGGGACCCGACCCGGAGGTGCGCCGGGCTGAGCGCGGCCCGGCCACACGCCGAGGAGGCCGCGGCGATTCTGCACACACCTCCCTCACGGCGCAGACCCAACGCTGCCACGGGCCACAGTGGGCGTCGGCGAATTCCACTCCCCAGCGGCCCGGGCAGACACATCTCCCGGCGGCCCCGATCCTTCCCCACCCCGGCCACCGCACCTCCCGTCGGCCCCCGCGCGACTGGACGGCGCCGGCGCGCTGAGGCTCGCCCACGCGGGGCATTCTGGGAGTCGTAGTGCGTGGCGCTGCCCGACCACGTTCTCCTGCGTCAGGCGTTCCCACTGGCAGAGTCATGTGCCACCATCGCAGGTCCTCTAGGTTCAAACTCCAAGCTCGACGTGACGGAGGACCGTGCCTTTGCCGTGCGCGG